TCTTCAGAAATCATTATAATATGCTGATTTGCTGCTCAAGAAACCTTTTTTAATTATTATTATTATTAATGTTTTTTGAGCAGCAAACCAGAATATCAGAATGATTTCTGAAGGATAGAGTGACTGGAGTAATGATGCTAAAAATTTAGCTTTGAAATCACTATAAATGACATTTTAAAATATATTCAAATAGAAAACCGTTTTGCTGTACTTTGGATCAAATAAACGCAGGCATTTTTAAAACATTAAAAATCTTACTGTTCAAAAACTTTTGACTGGTGTATAGGCAACTTTAATTTTTCTCTCATTTCTAGCTTTTAATTGGCTTAGAAATCAGATAACTGCTGGACAATAACCAATAATAATGATTTGTTTATATACTACAAACACTTTTTTTTAAACTGTTCATACAGCGATAGCTGGACGCTTCTGTCCATTTCCTCGTACGACTTTCTGCGCGAGAGCGCCCTCTGGCTACGAGTATGAATGAAACATACACTGCATGGAGTGTTTAGCGCTCCGTGATGTTCATCTCGGCTTATTCTGAGTCCGAATAAAACATCAGATTATGCACAGACTATCCTGTCTCTTTGAATTTAAATCTATATTTATTCACACCGGCTCTTGAAAACCTCTATGCGAACACACTTGCCCGAAAAAGTGTGGGGGACGAATTTACGTGATATTAAAAGTGGGGGGGGACACGTCCCCCGCATAATCTACGCCCCTGCGTTGATGTGCTGCTCTTGCTCTCGCTCTGGTTGATGCATGCGTACGCTCTTCCACCCTTTATGAAGTCATACAGGGCCATACTCGAAAAAACAAACCCTGAAGGACTGTATTTGGCACAGAAATACTCCATCATACATCCAACTCGTTTTTTGAGACTTTAGTCATGTTTAGTATGAGAATCCAACTCAGTGTAAATAAGCCAGAATGCATGAAATAGCATTAGACTTCCATTTTAAACTTACAAATACCTTCAGGCAATCATCAGGTTTTAAGCTAAAGAGCAAGCTGAGGTATGAGTACAGTATATAACAGAGACTGACCTGGGCTTACAGGTTGTGTGTGTCGTGCACGTGCTGCTTCTGTCTGCTGAGGAGCTGCAGCACCTGCTGGGAACTGGCCTGACAGTGCTGGTCCAGCTGCTGCAGTCTGACAAAACACACACACACATGCAGAGAAAAGGAACTGAGTTATCACTGTACCGGACTGAGGTTTGACTGAGTTTCATAAATGTTCTCTTGGCCTTGGGTGTTTTTCAACAGCATGTGAATTTTGGGCTGTTTGTTGAGATGACAGAATTGCTCAGAGACTTCACAGAAAATGTCAAAATCTTTTGTCTGTTAAGACATCATTTTCACAAAGTGAACATATAACAGAATATCCATTTTTTTATATCACTTAAAACATATGATTATTTTTTTCTAAAACATAAAAATAGACATCAGAATATCTAAGCTTCTTTTCCATACATAGAAAGTAAATAGGAACTGGAGCTATTATTCTTCTTAAAGGACAATTAAAGTAGACTCTGCCCCATCTGCCATTGGCTGGCCAAACAGATAGTCCCGCCCCACACTCACATCATTGGTCGAATCAATGTTCCTTTGTGAAAAGCATACAAAGAGATGTTTTGACAGCAGTCTTTACAATGGCATGCACTGTACAGAGGTCTTAGATCACATCATTTTCACAACTTTCAAAACCATTTTAAGTAAGTTTTTGTCTACTAAAAGTCTTTTGGAAGGATTTGTCATCAGCTGAAGAATCTGTATTTTGTTAAACAACAGTAAAATCCACCTTTTCATTCGTGTCAGAAATTAAATATGGTGCTACCCTCACTTATGTCTATTTTAATATAAAAAAAATAAAAAAATGACAAAATTTAGAATCTGTCTAAATATGTTGAAAATAGGTTAAGCAACAATGAACAATGATAATTTTTCAGAAAGTCAATGTGCTTCTGTACAGGATTCCAACAGCTAAAAACGGGCCTCCAGCTTCTCCTGTTCACTAGAGCCAGAGCCTTTTTTAAAGCCTTTCTTTTCTCTCTGTGTCTGGTGTGACAGCAGATGTGACTCTGCTTTTCACGATAATTGTCATTCACCTCTGATTCCTTAAATCCAGTCTTTTTTTGGAGTGTGAGCAGAATAGTTCATCTGCCTGCGCTAGACAGCTTGCTCCTGTCCTCAGGCCTCAGTCAAGCGCTGTTGTCTTTTGTCTCCCTCGCCCTCATCCTCTTTCTTTCCTTTCATTTCTCTGCTGGACTTCCTGGTGAGCTGGACAGGGCTGTGGTGGGCATCCTGTCCCATGCTCGGGCCCTGCTGTGTAGGGAGCTGGCGCCACTGCTGCCGCCCACCTCCAGAGTCTGGCAGTGCTTTGACACTGGCCCTAACCTCCTCCACAAACTACTTAGCTCCAAATGTTCTTCTATATTAGTGCACCCATCCAAACCTTTATCTACCATTTCTGCTGTTCTTCAGGTCTTTCAGAAAGTACCATTCATCTGCTATTGTTTACCAAAATGTGAAATAAATAAGAAATAGAAGAATAAGAGAAACTTAAGAAGTGAGAGCTGCAAGAACATGTCTATTTTTTGTAAACCCGCTTAAGCTCTGTTAGTGTGCCATCTGCTTTTTTGACACAGGGTTTATTTTTCTTCTCGAAATACATGAGTTTTATTGTTTAAGACTGATTCAGTATTAGTAAAAACCAATCATTAATATGCAGAAATACAGACTCTAATCACTCAAAGTAAATATGTGTAAACTGTGTGCAGACATACTGTACGGTACGACTTATGAGTTACTGTATATGACATATGAGTTGTATACTATATGTGACTGACATCTATGACTCTGCTAATGATTTCTGAAAAGAAAAATACAGTGAGCTTATAGATCCTAATACATGAATTTACAGCTCTCTTACCCCAGAAGTAAATGATTAAAATCAATTTAAAAAAGACTAAAACACATAAAACACTTAAATGTAAAATGAAATTATTATTATTATTATTAATTGTTAATTTAATACAATCATCATAATAGCAACAGCAGTAATAATAATAACACTTCATTTTTTAATTGATTAAATAATTAATAATACTATATACAAAATAATCACATTCATAGACTATGAAACAATGTTTATAAGGTACGTACACTACCGATCAAAAGGTTGTTTTTTTTTTATTATTACTTTTTTTTTAAACCTTAATACTTTTATTCAGCAAGAATGCATTAAATTGATTAAAAGTGAAAGTAAAGACATTTATAATGTTTTCTATTTTAAATAAATGCTGTTCTATTGAACTTTCTATTCTTCAAAGAATCCTGAAAAAAAGCATCAGTTTCCAAAAAAAAAAAAAATAAGCAACACAACTGTTTTCAACAGATCATAAGAAGAAACATTAGAATTAGAATGATTTATCATAGTGATTTCTGAAGGACTTCGTGACACTGAAGACTGGAGTAATGGCTGCTGAAAAGTCAGCCTTGACATTACAGAAATAAATTACATTTTAAAATATATTAAAATAGAAAAGAGTATTTGTTTAATGTATATTTGATCGAATAAATGCAGCTGTGATGAGCATAAGAGACTTCTTTCAAACAAACAAAAAAAAAAAAAAATAATTATAAAAATCCAACTCCAAACTATGCTTATTAAACTCATACTAACAGTATTGTATGAGTTTAATAATATTGGAGTATTTTTCAAGCAGTCAGCAATTAAACATTGTCAGGATTAATCAAAAACTAATGGAATGATCATGAACTAATGGATGACTCTTCATAATTCAGCTAAATCTAATGATAAGCCTGACATAATGTCACTTGTCTATTCCAATTCACTGCAATGTTTCCTCTTTATGCTGAGAGTGTCATTATGTTGAATGAGTAGAATCAGCTCTGTGGCCTCAGTAAAGTCTGGCAGGCAGTATAATGTCAGGCATCCTGAAGCACTTTAAGCAGGTTGTGTAATTCCCTCACCTCACACACAAGCCATCTGCAGCACCTTTGCACCTCTGGAGACAGACATGCTGCATTAACCTATTATACAATCACACCGCCCTTAATCAGCAAATGTCACAGCTCTCGATCTCCCCCTATTTATCTGCTCTACAGCCACTCAGGGAAAAGACTCAAATCCATCCAACGTGCACGACCCGTGCCCTTGTTCAGGGCTGTGTTTGTTTGTGTTTGACTCCCATAAACCGTCCCATAGAAGAAACGAAAAAAAAGAGAGAGAAAACTCCCGTAGTCATCTCTGTAGCTGGACTCACAATGGGAGTCTGATTAAATTAGAAGGCTGTCCAGCAGCTAAGGCTGCAAATCCAATAACCTCCCTCCATTTACTGGCACGCAACTTAATTAGGTTTTTAATACAGCTTAGTGCATGGAGCTGGGCTGAGCTGGCCCGGCCTGGACACTGCTGCCTCTGCCCGCTATTGAGTGCTGGAACTTCCCCGCTGACCCTGGTGAAAGGACACCATCTGCTGGCTCCCAGGCTAACTGAAGCCAGCGCAACACAGACACGGCAGAAATGAGCGCTCAGGTAACTGTATTGGCCCTTAACATATTTAGAAAACACAACAAATGCCAACTAGAGAATACTATGCTTTAGTTTTTAAAGCAATTATTACACATTAAACTGATTTACTGGGGGGGGAAAGTTACAAATGGTGTAAATGGAACACTTATAAACAATCCTGCAAATTAAACAGTAAGAATTTAAATTGTTCTAAAATTTCCAAAATATCATGTGGTTCTTAAACTGATCAATCTGAGGACCACTGGTGTCCATAAAGGATGTGGTCAATTGGTCTGTTAGTTGACTGGTAAATAAAAAAAGGATTTAAACACTTATAATTGAAAAACAATTACAATTGAAAAGCTCCATAAACATACACTATTATTCAAAAGTTTGAGATTGGTGTTTTTATGTTTTTGAAAAATAAAAAAGTCTCTTATGCTCACCAAGGCTTCAGTGTCACATGATCCTTCAGAAATCATTCTCATGTGCTGATTTATTGCTCAAGAATAGATTTTTTTTATTATTGCTCAATTGATATTTTCATCGATGTATTTTTAGGGTTCTTGGATTAACAGAAAGTTCAAAAAAGATCAGCATTTATTTGAAAAAAAAAAGAAAAGAAATCTTTTGTAACATTATAAATGTCTTTAATACATCCTTGCTGAATAAAACTATTAATTTCCTTCAAAACCATTTAAAATATATTGAATGAGGGAACTTTTATGTTACCTGCTTGTGTTACCATTAATTTTGTTATTATTATGATGATGTGTTTTTGTCTCTGTCTCACTTTAGTAACATAAATCAGAGTTATGCGTAAGTGTCACTGGCTAAAAGAAGCAATCTAGTTAATTCTAATGAAATAACAAAAACCAAAACAACAGTTTAGTTATGAATTGGCAGCTCAAAACAGGATTGGATCAAAAAATTAAAAAAAACACAACACTGTATTAGACCCTCAAATGAGATATAGGGGGTGATAAGTGGCAATTTCTGCTTTACTCCACTCCTCAAACACTGCCTTAAGAAGTATTCTGGTGAATATATTTTAGCTCTTTACTCTACTTTAACTTTAGCTCTACGGGTGAATCTAAATTCATTTCTGTGGTCATCGAAAATATACCTCAGATGCCCCTGAGTTTATAAAACAAAACAAAAAAAAGCTTTGCTTACACTTTTTGTGAGTAAGGAAAAAAAATAAAAATTAAAAAAATATATACATATGGTGTAAAACCAGTTTTTGTGAATTATCTGCAGGTGATGTGGCACTCTGGGAGTTCGTATAATAAACGGTACAAGAGCGTGAGTGGCCTGCAGTGCTGCCACCTGTACAGCGAGTCTTGATGTTGATGGACTGGACTGAAGTTTCTCTGCTCATGTGGCCTGCTGTGGCCTCAGGGTATGTGATTTTTATGAGCGATGTTCAGTGCTTAGCATCTGTTTAGCGTTGGCCAAATTAATTGGCAAGAAGCAGTGAATACACTCTCATCTCTTGTGAACAGACGGGAAAAAAACCCACATACAAAGTGAAATTTACAGTGACATACAGAGTGAAAAATTAATTCATTTACATTACATGAACATAAAATTTAGGAAAAGCCCTGGCAATCATT